TGGAGCCAGGATAGCAAACCCACGTGTTTTTGCTGATGGGAACTTGTGTCCCCCTCGCAGTGCGAAGTGTAGAAGTCCCTAGGATACAGCTGTTATTTCACTGTGTCCCAATACATTTAACCAGTATCCAAAACGTTTTGCTGCTCATCCTTTTGTGCTAAAATCCAAGGCTTTATAGGTTTGCAGCCAAGAAACGGTGATAAAGATCTAAATTAAATCTTTGAGCTTTAGTTCCTTACAGATGTTGAAAATTAAACCCAATAAGATTTGATAAAAAACCCAGATTTGATTAAATGCAATTCCATATCTATCATGCTTTACACAAAAAAACAAACAATCCTATTATCCCTTGAACGCCTCATGTATCCATTTCTTCCTATTGAAATGCGTACATGCACGCAGTGATGCATGCTGTTGCATAACGCTAGGTGTGCTCTGACAGGACAAGGTGTTCCTGAGGGGGGCCGGCTGTGAGGGGGAACACAGTGACACCCACAGGAAGTATAGTTTTAGAGATCATTACTGGGTCTTTGTCTTTCCTCATAGCAACCATGTGTTGTAGAATCTCATTGAGCCAGACGTAAAGTCTTGGTTTGAATTGATCTGCATCCTTTCCTTCTTTGCGTCATTTAATTCCTTACACCAAGACTGATTACCCTCCATTTTCCATTTTCCAGCGAGGATGCGGCAAGCCGTCAAAACATATTAGAACAAATCGTCCTCAGGAGACAGAATGGTGACGGCGCTGATGAAGATGTTGCAGCCAAATTGAACTGCCAGGCTTTTGCTCTAAACCCTAATGTTCCATCCTTATCAATCATCTTTAAGACATTTGAACCTGAAGTTAATATACCTGTTCCCTTGTTAAATGGCATCATCTGCAGCCCAGGCAGTATGAGGAAAATAAAGACCTTTTTGAACATTAAAGCATGGAGACAGTAGAAGCACAACATACAAATATGAAACCTGAAAATAAGCGTAACTGGAGACAATTTCGCTCTTACAACAGCTGATAATACGTGTTGCTTGCCTTCATGTGTTGCGTGCAAGTGTTGCAAGAATAATTGGTTAATAATCTTGATTCACCTCTGAAGGCTGCAGCCATCTTCCTCCAAACAAGAAGATATTTATTACAACTGAGCGTCTGGTGTGCTGTTCATGGATGACACACTCCTCGAGCGGGCATGCCGGTGTTTGCAAGTTGTGCGTTGGCGTGTTTGCAGGATGTGTGGAAACGAGGGTGCAGAAGCAGGTGCCACGTGGCGTTGGACGTGCTAAGCCAAGGCGAGGGGTCGCTGTGTGATCTCAGCTGTTGGGGAATGGGACGAAGGTGGGGCTTGCAGTGTTTCATCTACAGTTACTCATGCTGCCCCCCCCGAAACCTCCCCTCTAATCCAGCCAGATCTGAGAGCAGGCATGCGGACAGGACACACACACACGCGCGACACACTCACATGACAAAAGAGGCATGTATCCTGTCAGCTGTTCTCCACGGACACATTCTCTTACAGTTGTTTTGTCAGGACTCCAGATCCAGAGACAGCCGGATAATGAAAGTATCAATCATCCCCCTCATTGATAGGAATGTTGAGTATTGCAAAAATCCTTGTTGTCCTGGGTGAAGTTATTTTAGGATTATATCTTCATTTATCTGTCATGATTACAAGCTGTTCTTGGTTTGTTTGAGTCTTTATTCCATTCGGTGCCTTTTCTTCATCCTGTGATGCACTCGTTTGTCTTGGCTAAAGCATCAGATATTTTCAGCAGGAATGTGAACGCCCCAACTTGAGAGCGAGGAAGGCCTACCTATCTGGGCTATTGTCTAAATATGGCATCTGATTCGCTCGTATTTCTCTGGCCCGGCCGTCTGTCTCCACATCTCGTGGAAAAAAAATACCACTTCGGTGCGACGGGACATTTGACCCTTCTGCACGAAAATGTGCGTTCATGCATTGATGTTTGCTTCCGAGGGCCCTGAGGAGGTGATGTTGTAACAGATTCCTGTGACTTGTTTGCGTCTGCCAAGTAGCTGTCTCGTTGGCAGTGTGGTTTGTCGAGGTCAGTGACTCAGTAAGAGGTGAGACTCTCTACTGTAGCTGCAACGTCATCATCTGCAACGATTGAGAAATGACCTGAAATGTCACACTTGTTCTCATTATCCTCCTCTGCCATGTTAACTATGCCGAGAGCACAAGACTCAACAGGAACTCTAATTGTTTAGAAAACAGTCATGGTCTGTCTAGGATGAATTGGACTGACTATGGTGATGCTTTGCCAATATCATTATGTGTCCAATATGTTACGACTTAATCTCTGCAGAGTATTCCCATCAGTCTCAGCTGCACTCTGTGGTGTGTTCTTATGACCAGATGTTAGCATGAGACTTGGGGAGTGTCTACTTTTCAATACCTTATACCTTACTGACATCTCACTAGGGTCGTAGGTTAAAATTAAATTAGAATAGTTGGTCCCATTTAAAGGTCGATCCATAATAACTTTAATCCGGTCTGGGAAAGCAAGAAAGGGCAGCGAGCATTTGAGTTTTAGCGCTGTAGCATGCGGTTCTTCACAGGTAACCGTTATTATGAACCCTAACCCTCGTATTCAACATTTTTTTTAACTCAGTGGACACTACAGCTTCATAGAAAGCAGACGGTATTGATTTAATGCTTCCCATAATAATACCAACCAAGCCTAGTTGGCATGCCACACACACTATTCTCAGATTGGGAATATTGTAAACATTATATCTGATAAACACCAGCATGTCAAGCGTGTTAGCATGTGACGCTAGCATTTAGCTTATAGCCCAGATGTGCCCAGGTACAGTCTGTGTACAGTCTATAGCAACAGCGCCAGCATAGCTGTAGATTAACCTCGGGAGTTAATGGTAATTCTAGTTTATTACAACTTGGTTTCTAGATGCATGGATTAGGCAGTTATTCCTATCAGTAATAATACAATGTGAATGGTCTAAATGCTCTATTTCTTGCTGTCTGCCACTTTGTGATAGTGGTGCCCCCCTATTCTAAGTTCTAATGTGTCCAAAGATAAGCAATTACTGTAGTTGTAATAAACTGGAATAATCCTTTAATGCAGTGGTGCCTATTGGAGGAGAGCCTGTCATGTTCACAGTAAACTGAGCCTCTCTGGCTCTTTCTATTTAAAACCTCTCTCTCTTTGGGGGCTCTGCCTGGGTATATTGACCCTCTGTGCTTGAGAGGAAGGGAGGAGTCTGGGCTAGAAGTGGCAGAGGACAGACAAGAAAGGCAGAGAGAGGAAAAGAGTAGAAGACCCTGGTCTGTGGAGCTCGTGGTGAGGCTGTTTAATCTCTGCAGGACAGTCAGATGGCTTTGACAGAGCACAGGCTGCAAGATTAGGGGGCTTTGTACTCCTGAAAAGCTTCTGGATGGACCTTTTTTTTTTTTTTTTTTACCCCCTTCCTTCCTGTCTTGGGTTTATATCTTCACTGGGACTCCTCACCCTCCCATAACCTTACCCCTCCTCCCTCCTTCTGTCCTCCCCAAGCCTTGCGACCCGCTCCTTGAAATCTGTGATTATACCTGGCTAGACATTGAGAGGAGTGGATTAATAAGGCGGTGTGTCTGACGGGGGGCACGCTGCACAGGGAATTAGCCGGCCAACGAGGCAGCGAGTTGGATGTTTATTGGGGTCTTGGCTGGGTGCCTCCTGGCATGGATATGGAGCCGAATTGCAGGAGTGGGGGAGACTCCGGCTCCGATCTGCAGAATGTTACGGTAGAGTACCAGGAGCGGGGATGGAGAGGGTCATTTTGTATTGAAATCTGAGTTACCTGATAGCACTTACCCACTGGTATTAGCATGTTGCAGTGCAGAGCATATGTTAGAGCAGAATCAGAATTAGAAATCCTTGAATTGTCCCACAGTGAGGACATTTACAGTTTTACAGAGAAGGGGACAGGGCAGATGAGACTAACTCAAATAGAAGAAAATATGAAACATTAACATATTAAATAAAGAAGCAAGTACACATCCAAGATAGAAAAGCTGCAAACATGTAAATAAAGTCATAATGTAGTCAGTAAGTCAGTGGTATATAGTGAGAAGTATATATATTACATGGTGGTATTTTTACAACAGTGTTTTTACAGTATTAAGTAGCGCAAAAAAAGTACCAGCCAGCAATAACATTAGTTAATTGCTTAAATCTTATACCTCAGACAAGCCAATATGACAGTGTCCTCTCAGGAGATGACCTCTACCTCCTGTATTTCTATAGTTGTTGTGTTTACTTGAAAGCTAGACTCCCTAACTCCTTTGAACCCCTGTTGTGCACACATTAAAACACACATGCACAGACACACTGCTCCTCCAGCGTACATGGAGACAATGACAGGAAGTACATTAGTTGGACCTCCATTGTATCTCCTCATACATCCTCGCTTCCCGAGCCGCGTTGTGGGTGATGTCGACACGGGGTGGAGTGAGGAGTTGTGGGGGTACTGTGGTACTCCTGAGGTGAAGGGAAGAGCATCGGGGGGGGTGTGGGGGGTGTTTGATCTGTCTGGTCCTAGACAGAGTGATCCTTAATCCTGCTGCCTTCTGCTGCGCGTCGCCGACTGGAAGCTGACCTGTGGTCGGTTTTATTGTCCCACAGCTCGGGATAGGGTTTTAGATTACATAAGGGGTAAGCTGGTCCCAGATCTGCACACGAGGTGGAAATCTAACTTTAATTACATTAGCCGTCATCCCACAGAGGGGGCAGACGGTGTAAAGCTGGGAGTCACCAAACCTCAGGAATGCCAGTGGCAGCCTTTGCGGTCATCTAAACTGTGGCAGAAACAATAGTCAGGCAGGGGATGTTTATTTTGAACGTGTGCGAGTGTTTTGCCATTTTCACTTTGGCCCAGTCTTTTAAAATGTTTGTACAGCGGGGACCTTGTGTGCTTGGCAGTTATGTGATCTGACTTTCTCTTGTCCTCTCTTCCCCCCCCCCCCCCCCTCTCTTTCTCCCTTTAGGTTTGCCACCACCCAGACTGCCAAGACCTGAATAACAAAAGCCCCCTTCACCTGTGCGAGTCATGTGACTCACGCAGCCACTCGGAGAACACAGACAACATGCACTTTGACCGGCACCCCCGCTTTGACTTACAACCTCAAGGTAGACGTGCACTGTTTCTTTCTTTGGTAATCCCTCTCTCACAATGATGTCATGCCCATTGCCTCATCACAGGAGCTCATTGTGTAAATGTCACACTGAGATTTGATTGTTTTCTAAAAAAGGCAAAAACGACCAATCAAGTTCTCCGCATATATAAAACACCTGAGTTGTAAATGTATGATTTGGGTAATAATTCAATATATGTCTGAAATATTTAAGGTTAAACTTGTATTTTTACTGTTATTTAAGGGTTGCTTTATTTGAAACGTGGTTTTCTCACTTACCTTTGGTCCTAACTTAGCCTAAACATGAGACTGTGGTCCCATTTGGTTTCACTTTTTCACAGTGTGTTCATGTTTGCCAATTTATTGTGTCAGAAGTGGCTCACATATCCATCCAGTTGATGTCATTTTCAGTGGAAATAGAATATGAGTTAGGGTTCGCTGTGCGCAATTTACTTTAGATTTCCCAGGAGAAGGAGAATGTGTGTTACTGTTTAGTAGATAATACTCAACTCTTAAAAAAACTACTCTTTTCATGGATGTATCAGAAAGATGACAACATCATTCTTAATCCTTCCTGCAAAGCTCTGGCTGGTCAACTGTTTGTTTTTTTCCACAATTGACAGAAATGGCCCTCAGTTTGCTCAATCCCAGACACATTTGAATTGCTGTTCAAATCCTAGATGTGGACAGATAATCAGAAATCTGGAACCAGGCTAGTTTTAAGTGACCTTGCACAGTTTGTCCCTGAGATTTCAGCATCCACCGCAGCATAATGAGGGTTGATTTAATTTAATTAGCTGTGCTCACCACATCAAAAGTAATCTGGTTACTCCGGATAACGTACAGACCGTACTGTGAACGTTTTTTTATTGGTAAAATGTTCTACCAGGAAAAAGTCCATGAGAAAACTATTCAGAGAAGAACAGTTTGTGTACAACTTGAACGCTGTGCTAAGCTTGTATTTCTATCTGCATTAGGCAAACTGGCACAACTAAATGTTTAAACAGTTCTCGTTTGTATCGTACCCATGCGTGTGCAGCACATCTGTCACTGGAATACTTTGATACTGAAGAAAACATAAAAACATGGTGATTCTCAGGAAAGTTCTGGAGTTATTTTGGAGATTTCCAAGTAGATGTTAGGATGTTTATTTGTGATGGACACTATCAGTGGACCTAGGGTACCAACAAGCCACATGTGGGACAAAGACTATTTTTGTGTGAGACATGTTACTGCAACAAGTGTTTCTTGTGAGCTTCAAAACGTATTCACCTCAATGCCTGAACTCAAAAGTAACAAACACAGGGAATGACCCTACACGACATCTGATACGGCTAATGATGATAGCGCTCTATTGTTTTCAGCCATTGGATAAAAGCCAAGTTTTAATCAGGCAACGGTCAATGTGGGCGACGGCTACATTTGTGAGACAAAACGGGACACTTGGTCACCCTAAGTGGACAGCCAATGATCATGATACAAGAACAACAAGTACACTTTTTAAATGTAATGTAAACACCCACAATCAAAATGCAAATATCCTCCATGGAAACAAACCGATCAAAGTCTGGCAGAAATCAAACACAACTATTTGCTTTGCTAGATAGCACAAGAGTCATTGGAGGAAACCTGTTAATGTATATTTTTTCTGGGGACTGATCCTTTTAAAGCTTGATTTTTAAATGTTGTCATAGTTTTGTTCCAACAGAGGGGACTGACCGCTGTGTTTTCTTGACTTTTAGCCTCCATCCTGGCTCGGAACGTGTCGACGCGCTCCTGTCCCCCCCGCACCAGCCCCCCCTCCGACCTCGAGGAAGAGGAAGATGGGAGCAATGACCGCGGGTCGGTAACCCCCTCTGTTACGTTCTGCTAGTGTTTATGTCAGCCTTGCCTGTCAGTAGAGCTATGTCTGTTCAGAGCGGAGAATAAATCACAGCCATGAAATGTGTGTCTCCTGACAGTTTGATCGCTTCTTTTTAAGTCACATTAAGCAGTTCCTCAGATGTTGGGAGTATAAACGGTATGATAACATGTGTGTAACTGTTTTGCAGGGAGCGTAAAACGGGGGGAATGAAGTTGAAAAAGAAACCACGGAGACGACACACTGATGTAAGTAATCATACACAGGAAGCAGGGTGCAGCATGAAAACACCCCCCCCCCCCATGAAACCACAGTCTGTTCCTGGAATGAGTCTACAGTTATTCTCCGCAAAGACTATCTTTATCGGGGATTAACTGTATCTGTCACTTGTTTTGTGACTCAGAATTAACACAGTTTCTCATAAACGGTGCACAATACAGGCAGAGGTGAGCAATAAGAACGCAGCCACCTTTATTCTGATATAGCATAATGGTATTTGCAGGCTGTTTTGGGTAGGGTAGTGAAAAGGAGCCCCCCTGTGGACTCGCTGAGTGAACACATGCATCCCCCCCGACCTGTGTAAACTAACAGTCTGTTCCCCCTGCAGGACCCCAGTAAGGAGTGCTTCAGCCTCAAGTTTGATCTCAACGTGGACATAAACACGGAAATTGTACCGGCAATGAAAAAGAAAACCCTGAGGTAAGAGAGAAAGATGATCAGACGCATAAAGGATATTGCGTGAGTTTGATATGAGCTATAATTAACAGTTTGATTTTTCTTTTTGTGTTACCAGAGAGGTTCTGGGTCCAGTTTTTGAGAGGAACGGCATTGAGCTGTGCCGGGTCGACCTGTTCCTGGATCAGTCCAACACGCCGCTGTCACTCAACTTTGAGGCGTACCGTTTCGGAGGACATTACCTCAAAGTGAAAGGTAACAACCTCACCAATAATCATATTTCATCCTATATAATACCCTATATTTTATGGCTATCCTTTAAGCATAAAATGTGTCCTTATTTACCCTTTGTCTGCTCTAAAAATGGTGTATTTGGGCTCATCCAACATCTATTTTGAGGCGTTTCTTACATGCAGCCGCTAAGCCTGATTTATAACTGCAGATTGACGACTGTGTCTGAAATCTAACTTCTGAGAAAAGGCAGTGTTTTATTAGACTCTCATTGAGGGAGAGAGACGAGCCAGATCATAGCAGTGAGACTTCAGCGACAGTAGTAAAGGATATTGAAGCAAATTAGAAAATGCAATATTAACTTACTGTACAGAAGCTCTCCATTCAAAGACAATGTGATTTATTTTCTCAGTTTTTCTGACTTTAAATGACTCGCAGTGGGTCCATGTTTAAAGAAGCCATTATATACTTTAAGTAGGCTTGTTATAATATATAACAATTTAATAATATATTATAATTTGTTATATTGTCAAACAATCATTTAGTCAAAGGAGTTTAAAAGATTCCCCATGTTTGACTTTGAACTATCCAATCACTGATATTTTTACTTAATGCCCCCTAATGTCTTTTTCCTTTGTACGGTTGTAACCTTTTTTTAATTTCATGATTCTATTAGTTAACAAAATGGTTTCAATAAAAGTGGGTTGATGACATTTTCACACGGGGTTTATGGCCACACACAAAGGATTAACACTTTTCGATAGTATTTTTTTTAATGTTGCTCATTGTGACGTTCTCACGCTATCAATCAGATCTTCTTTCTTGTAAATGACTAACAACATTGCCGTAAGCAAATGAGTCATTGTTGCATGTCTAACTTATTTCTAATTAGTTAAAGATGATCATTGAGGTGTTGGATTTTTGTAAAACGACAGACAACAAACAGATACACTTCAACCCGGTGGAATAAATCAAAACAGCCGCTATAAAAAGCGTTTGTTCATAGAAAGTAGGGAGCCTTTCAGTCTGTGTATTTTAGACGCACCATTCTTATCTGTGGCCTTGACGGAGCAGGACAGATGGCGGAGAACGGTTTCCTCTCACACCCAAATTTCTGACTCGGAGAAAAAAGGAGTGAACTGTATGCTATGAAGGATATCAGAACTACAAGAAGAAGAAAAAAAACGTCCACTACCACTCAATCCTCTCCAGAAGTGTCATTGACTCCCTATGAATCTTAATAATGCAGTCGCAGCATGATGATGACTCTGCCAGCTTTTCTTTCCCATGATGCCGCAGTGGAAAGTGGGAACGCTGCCTCTGCTCTGAGACCGCTGCAGTTGCACTTGCTGCAGTTTCGGGATCAAAAGCCCATTTAAGCCGCCCATAAAAGAGATCCCATGCCATGACTAATTGTTTTCTTTTGAAATTGTCACCCTCCCACATGCGGTCTGGAGTTACATGCAGTCGGAAAGACAGAGGTCAAACTGTCCACAGCTGTTTAGACACGTGGTCAGGTTTTCAGTAGACTATGACGGAGAAATTGTATTGTTCTGCTCTTTCTATGTTGTTAACACTCAATCCGATCTATTTATTTTCCCTAAGCTTTAACAAATATGAATTTGGCCATGTACCGTATTGTCAAAGGATAACTTAACAAGTTTTTTGTGAAAATGTGTCACTTGTAAAGCCACAGAAAGGTGTTACTTTTATCTGCAGTTTCCCTTCGCTACATGGAGCTGTTTATTATTTTTCACTTCATTGATTTCAGCCCCGCAACATTTATGTTTTGGTTCACTGTCACTGCTCCTATAGCGTTGTTTTCAGGGGAAAAGCTTTAAAAAGTATGCCTTGTACATGGCCAGCAGCAAACAGCAGACAGACAAAGTTAGCATCTAGCTGGTGAACATAGGGAAGCAATTGACAGCTACACAGACAAATGAACACTGAACTTCACTTTGCCAGATATAAGGTTTCTCTGTATCTGCTGGATGTATGAATTAACAGTTACATAATAAGTTTGGCATATCAGTCGATTTTGTGTCAATTCCTCGTTTCTGCTACCCTCAAGTGGCCAAAATGTATTTGATTACTGGTTCAATGTAAGGCCACAATCATTCTATTTATTCTACAATATGTAAAAGAGCTTATAAATGGATTTAACGTCCAATACTTTTGGAGTCAATTAAAAATGACTCAAAACAAAACAGAGAAAAATAATGATCTGAGGGCTGTGTATATTTTACAAGAGTCTCTTCCCCAGACCGTTAAACCTCCTTGTTTTTCCTTCAGCACGTGTAGGGGATGAGCTGAAGGTGGAGCAGGGGGTGAAGGACTTGCGGTCGCTCAGCCTGCCCAACATGAAGCCCTCTGAAGGTCAGAGCCCGTACATCCTCGCCCCGGGCAGCGAGAGGGTGGAGCACGGCTCCCTGGGACGCAAAGAAAACGTGGATCTGTTGGTGAGTTTCATCTTCCCGAACACGAAAGTAGTATCACTTAACGCTGATGATATTTAAAGGTCACCTATTATGCAAAATCCACTTGTTCATGTCTCTTCTACATCAACATGTGTTCCCTCTGTGTAAAGAGATTCTGAAAGTTTCAGGAACAAAGATTCGCTCTCTTTTTGTCCTGATCCATTTATATAAAAACCTGTCTGAAAATGAGCTGATCAGATTTTGGCCACTTTATGATGTCATAACAATTTTTTGGATTGTGTAACCATTAGCCAATCACCAACCAAGGAAACCCCCCCCCCCCCCCCCACCCCCACCTTATCACCTGAATCTCCTTCTAGAGCACCATTAGGCGCTTTCACACCGGAGTACTTTTCCCAAGAACTAGGCCGATAGTTCTTGGGATTTTGCTTTCACACCAAAAAGATCTGGAACTAGTCCCTAGTCCACGCAAACCTTTTCACCCCCAGATAGTCCCTGCTAGAGAGTAGGTACTTTCCTGGGGAGGAAATGGTTCGTGGTTGTGTCGGCCACACTAACAATTTCTGATTGGCTGGGCGAATTGCAAACCACGCCCCGTAAAACTCAGAAAAGTTTTGTGAAGCCGCCATTTTATTTGCTCGCATTAGCATTATTAGCATTAGCCCAGCGCACCAACGGAGAGAGAGACTAACTTATGGCAACACAAAAGAAAACATGGGAGCGGTGGAGTGATGAGGAAGTGTCGGCGCTTCTGGCAATTTACTCGGAAGACGCGACCCGGCAGCTTCTACTGAAGTCAGTCCCCAACTCCGGGGGACTCCGGGACTTCGGGTGGCAGTATACGCCGTGAAGTTCTTTGCGGCCTGCCAGTAAACCCAAAGCAAAAGAAGAAGTGACGACGTCAGCAGCCAAATTTGCGTAATCTTCCCTCAGGGACTTATTTCGGTGTGAACGCGATCTACTAGGACAGGTTCAGGGACTAAAGAGTTCGGGGAGACTAAGTACCGGGAACTAAGTACCGGGAACTAAGTACCGGGAACTAAGTACCGAAAAGTACTCCGGTGTGAAAGCGGCTATTGTGTTCTTTTTAACCAAATATCTCTCAGAGGGGATTGTGGGATGCTGCAATGATCTGTTTGGTGTTTCGAGCCAAACACTTCAGAGACATGTTTTGTATATATCTGAGACCTATAATATATTGATGAAAAACAGTATAATAGGGGACCTTTAATGTGGCGCTCCAGCTAATAACTGTCTCTCAGACTCATCAAACCAAAATAAACCACTCCTTTAAAACCACACACACCCAGTGACTCACACTGTTTTGCCACACCCTTTACGGTTTTCCATAACTTCACCTCCTCTTCTTTCCCTCCCATGTGCCAGTGTAGTATCTCATTGTAATCCCACCATGACCTCATCGTGTTTACATTACCTTTATCTGCGTGGCAAAACCCTGGGAATGTATTTTTGGATTTCCTCCTCACTCTATCGGCTGTGTGTGTGTCTTTTGTTTGAACACTCGTGTGTGTGTGTCCATGCTGCAGAGAAAACCCCTCGAGTCTGATATGACAACGAGTTCACTCGGGAACAATCTGTACCACTTCCTGCTGCTACAGGAAGTGGGCGTTTTGTTACCGATGAGAGACGCGGGGAGGCACACTGTGTCCTGCACGGTCCAGATCTGCCATGCTGCCAGACGTGGAGCATGGAAACAGAGCAGACGGTCACCAGGTTCATGTTGTGGCACATAACGTCTGTGGGACATGGGAAGCAGTTTTAGCTCCTAAAGAGGATGAAGCTGTCTTTCAGCGTGCCACTTTAGATTAGTTTTAGTACTAAGACACATTGGCTTTTCTTCCGCTAAGTTAACAAATTGACTTTACCCCAGGCCGCTTAGTTGCTAAGTGTGTCAAGCTTTCCATTCCTGTGTAATGCATATTATCTTTACTGATTTACCATCCAAACTTTTAAAACATTTTTGACCAATTACATCTCATACAAAAGTAGGTTTTTCATTTCTAGTTGGCAGCTGTACATTTTGCTAGCTGAAATATTGACTGTTGTTGCTTTTTTATTAGCTGTAGCTTAATAGCTAATTAAGCTAACGTTAGCGTCATGACACGGTTTAAAAACACTATCCTTTTTTTATGCTTCAAACTTTCTCAGTTTAAAGGTGGGGTAGGTAAGTTTGAGAAACCGGCTCGAGATACACTTTTTGTTATATTCCATGGAATGCTCTTAACATCCCGATAGCAATGAATATCTTAAGTGCTTTGACAAAAAATCCATTAAAAAAATTTCATCTGTGGAAGCCGTAGTACTGTAAAAAGTACGACCAATCATTTTAGCCGGCCCGGCTAAAATAACTGGATGGCCTACCTGCCTGTCAGCCTTCCATCTGTGCACAAACTTATCTCGTGCCCTCATTGGTCATGTGCGCGTTCGTGTGTGTTGGAGGAGGGGCTCTATAAGGAAGTGGCAGATTTTTTCCGGTTGTGTATTTTCAAATTCTAGCGCACTCGAGCTGGTTTCTCCAAAATTACCTACCCCACCTTTAACACGAAGTCTATAAAAAGTATTGTTATATATTCACTTGCAATTCACAATGGCTATATACATGATATTTGGCTAAAAGAATGACACCAATATGTTTTATCAAACACCGCTAATAGCAAACATGGCTAACGTTAAGGGGAATTTCCGATGTGTAAAGTTACCCACATCAAATAAAGAGCTGTACACAACCAATGATTTTACCAAAAACTCTGACGTGTAGGACTGGCTCACACAAAGTGGAAAAATACTGTGTAGTTAATCTGTTAGTCATAATTGGGGCCTTTTTTCAACAAAAGCAGACTAATGATAGGTGTGATGATAGGATTTGACAATCGATGTTTGGCAGAGAGCATTTTCAACAGTGCAAACATTTGAAAAGTAGGAAATCCTCTCATTTGAGAAGAAATCCTCTCATTTGAGAAGGAGTAACCCACTCATGTTTTATAATGTTGCTTTGTTAAAGGCTTAAAATATATTGGAATTGTTACAGATATATTTCGTAGAGCTTCATGTTGATGGGCTCACTGTTTTGGCCGGCTCTTCAAAGGTAACATAATTCAACCGGTTGAATATTTAATGAAAACATTACTGAAATCTACAATGGAAATGACTTCCTCTGCTTGACAGCATTGTCACTGAAGAGGAGATGAACAACACGGCTGCTTAGCAACACTGGCTCTGGTGGAAGCAGTGATTTGTGTTTTGGCACATAAATATTTAGATGAGCTTGTTTTATTATTGCTGTATTGTCACCGGTGTTTATTATCGCCAGATGTTAAACAATCACTCACATTTGAATCATCATAATGCCGTCACCCATGTGCCCTCTAGTAGCAAGAGTGTGGAAATGTACTGTTTGGGAAAACACAGAAGTAGTGTCAACACTTACAAATTAAAAGTATTTTTGGGTGGCAATACAAGCATGAATAGGGAGAAAACTGACAAAATAGATCCATGATATCAAACAAATCCAAAGCAAAGCCCGTACCACTGATATCAATACCTTTTATTGTTCATTTCCGCTAATGTACTATCATGTAAAAGACAGAAATGTGACCATGTTTTAAGGTGAATAGATTTGTTTTTACCAGTGCGTCTAGCATACATGTACCCAATATACCCACACTTAATGTTTTGAATGTTGAAGAGGAGAGAGAGAGATGTCAGTGATGAGTTCAGGCCTCAGGGGGGCAGTGATGTGCTCCTTCTGATGAAAGCTGATTCATGTGTTGGAGATCTGGTAACGTACATTGAGCTCTTCTTGACTGTAGTCTGTACCTAGCATCCTGCAGTGTGGCTGTATGGAGTTACTCATGACTTGTCTGTAGGGATAAGACAGTCCATTGTAGTCCACAGAAGATTCATCTGCATTCATAGTTTGTTAGACTTTGAAACCACAATAACTATATTTTGGTTAGTATGACCTTCATTGGATGTCTACGTTTTACTGTACATAGTTTTAAGCTAGGAGTCTGTTTTCACACATATCTGCTAGAGTGGGAACGTTTCGATGAACTTACATTCAATTTAATTTTGTGACATTAACAGTACTTTGAAAGCAAACCAATTCTATACTATTTTATTTATTTATAGGGCTCCAAATCATAACAGAAATAAATGTAGGGCACTAAAGCAGGTCTAGGCCATTCACTTTATACAATTAATCATGTACCAATATGCAACTTAGGCAAGTGTATTTCAGAGTAAACATGGTACGTAATGTTAGAGACATGCTCACTTTTGCTTTCTAACAGATTCTGGATGAGGGAAAAGGAAAAATATTCAATCCAGTTAAGATTTTCTATGTTTTTGGTCGAAAATCCTATCAGACAACCATTTTTATTTGAAGCAGAAAGTTGGTTATTAACTTAAAACATGGCTGGATGGGATCAATAGGCACGACATATTTGTAGTCTTTCTTTTATGCTACTAAACTATAAATATGTTTTGGTTTTTGACAAGTGGTTAGGCAAAACAAGCAATACAAATATGTCCTCTTGGAAATTGTGAGATATTTTGTAGACTAAATACTTGATTCATTATCAAGTAAATAATCTAAAACTGAAAAGAACGTAGTGGATTTGAAGCCCCCATATTTCTTATTTCACATTTCTCTGTCTTTGTAAAACTATTTGGTAAATATGACTCGTAAATTATTTGACTCCTGGACCCAGACGAGTGTCTCCTGCCAACGAAACAAAGCTCGTTGAAGTCTATTGGATACTTGTGTCTTGACCAGACTTAACAGCAGAAAGCCTGTGATCCATGTTGGGTGCCAGCCCATATTTTATGAAAGCTATTTGGAGGACAAAAGCTTTACTTGGACATGCGGGCAGCGATCGGGTCTCTGAGTTTCTATGGCAGCAGCTTCGGCACTCACCATTAAACTCATGCGTTCCTGCTTTTTATGGAAACGAGGACTTTGCCCAAAGATATTTGCCTAGTGACCGGAATCATGGCGT